AGGGCACCATTTCTCCTGCCCAGTGGGTTTTTCCATTCTCAGTACTTTCTTTTGGTGCACATTTTTTATTTTGAAGTCCAGTTTACCTATCTTTACTTCTGTTGTCTGCGCTTTTGATGTCATATTTAAGAACACATTGCCAAATCCAAGGTCATTAAGATTCACCCTATGTTATATTCTGAGAGTTTTACAGTTGTAGGTTTTTAATCCAAAAATTACCCATTTGAGTTCATTTTTGTTCACTGTGTGAAGTAGGCGTCCAACTCCATTCTTCCGCATGTGGACGTCCGGTCGGCCCGCACCTTCTGTTGAAGAGGCCGCCCTTTCCTCATTGACCGGCGTTGGCACCCCTATTGACGATGCACTTGTACGGTTTTATTCCTCGACTCTGTATTGGCCTCTATGTCTGTCTTTATGGCAGCACCACATTATTTTGATTATTGTAGCTTTGTAGTAAATTTTGGAATCAGAAAGAGTCCTCCGGCCTTGTTGTTTTTCAGAATTGTTTGGCTATTCAGAGTCCCTTGAGACTCCCTGTGAAATTGAGCATGTTTTTTCCTATTTCTAGAAAAAAACAGCTTTGGTATTTTGATAGGGATTGAATGCATAGATTGCTTTGGGGGAAGTATTGCCATCTTAACAATGTTAAGTCTTCCAGTCCATGAACTTGGGGGTGTCTTTCCCCTTATTTAGGCCATCTTTAATTTCTCACGGTGTTCTGTAGTTTTCAGTGTACAGGTCTTTCTCCTTGCTTAAGTTTACTTTTTCCTAAGTGTTTTATTCTTATTGATGCTATTGCAATTGAATTTTCTTAGTTTCCTTTTTGGAGTGTTCATCGTTAGTGGACAAAAATACAACTGGTTTTTGTATTGGTTTTGTACCCTGCAACTTTGATGAATTTGTTTTGTGGATTCTTTAGGGTTTTCTACATGTAAGATCATGTCATCTGTGAGTAGAGGTTATTTTCTTTCCTTTTTAATTTGTTTGCCTTTTATCATTACATTTCTTGCCAGCTGCTCTGGCCAGGACTTCCAGCACGGTGCTGACCAGCAGTGGGCATCCTTGTCTCATTCCTGGTCTGCACTGTAGGGCATGCTCACTAAGGCTTGTCCTGTGTGAATGGGCCCTGGGAGTTCCCTTCTGTTCCTGACAGAGTTCCCTAAATGTCTGCATCCAAAGGGAAACAAAAGTGTGCTTGTCTCTTTAAGTCTTCCAGAGACACTACAGGGGAAGTTGCTGTGTCTGGGCTGGTCCTCAGGGCCCAGCAGCTGGTGGAGCAGGCAGCCTTTCTCCCTTCCAGCACTCTGCTTGCCAGGTCTCCCCAAACAGGTCTTCCTCTGGCTTCATGGTTCTTTCAGATGACCCCTGAAGCTTTTCTGTCCCACCCTTCCTATGGGGTTTCCTGCATTTGGTGCTGGTGTGTGGAAGTAGGCACAGAGCTCCAGCCCAGAAGACCCACTCCTGCCGCCAGGATGTCTGCATCTCTACTCTGCCCTCCCAGAGTGGCAGTGTGGGGTCTCTGCCCTCCTGAGAGTTGGTCTGGCTGAGGGTCTGCTTGAGGGCCAGACTGCGTAAATGGAGCCCCAAACCTGTTTTTTTCAGTTAGTTTGCTTTTTTTTTTCCCCAGGGTCTCTGGTAAGAAGAGTGAGAGCAAAGAAGCCAAGAAGTCTGAAGAACCAAAAATTCGAAAGAAACCTGGGCCCAAGCCAGGCTGGAAGAAGAAGCTGCGCTCTGAGAGGTGAGGGGCCGGGTTTGGGGCCACGCTGCCCAGTGGGGCAGTGGCTACATCTGTGCTCTGCTCTGCAGGGAGGAGTTGCCCACCATCTACAAGTGCCCTCACCAGGGCTGCACGGCCGTGTACCGAGGGGCTGACGGCATGAAGGTGAGAGGCCGGGGCAGCACCAGGCGTGTCTGCAGAGCAGGTGCAGACCCGAGCTCTCCCGGGCCTGGGCAGGTGGAGTTGGAGCCAGCTCTGCTGGTGTGGTCCGTGGGGCAGAGGGCGTCAGCATTGGTCTCTTGGGGAAGCACCACTTCACACGACGACGGGTGGTTGGGGCTGCTCCTTGAGGTGCTGGGCAGGGCCGGGAGCAGGCAGCCCATCTGTGTGGCCAGGCCAGGCCCTCAGGGGTTCCCTGTGCCCCCTGCAGAAGCACATAAAGGAGCACCACGAGGAGGTCCGGGAGAGGCCGTGCCCCCACCCCGGCTGCAACAAGGTGTTCATGATCGACCGCTACCTTCAGCGCCACGTGAAACTCATCCACACAGGTGCCCGCCCTGCCCGCCCACGCTCACCTGCAGGCCCCGGGCCCCTTCCAGGAAGTCTAGCACTGTGTCTCAGTGTGGTGTCCCAGTGCCTTTCTGCAGGTTCAACACAGTGGGGGGTTGCTATCCTTACTTAAGGGATGACATCATATGCCTGATTCTGAAAGTGATCCATGTGCATCATACAAGTTGTGGAAGATAAGGGAAGCACGAAGAGGTTGGTGAGCACACATGAACCTCCAGGGCGCTCTCTGCATACATATCAGTGTATGCAGTTTATATATTCACCACAGCCTGTTCCCCTCCGTCTGGACACGATCCACACAACACATAAGGAAATGTGCGAACGCACGCCCTTGAAGCGCACGCTGTTGCTCTACCCAGAAGGCAGCTCTCCTGAACTGGCAGATAGCTTACACCTATACTTATCCCTAAACGGGAGTTTGCTTTTTCCTGAACTTTGTCAAAATGATTTACTGTAGAAAGTGTTATGATTTACTTTTTCCACTCAGCTTTGTACATTTTATAGTTGGTTATCTGGTTACGCAGTGAAACCACTTTCCTGTTTTTTGTTTGAAGTGTTCTGTACATGTCTCCTGATAGAATAATTTCTTTAGGTGGGACCTGTAAACTCTCTCAGTCCAGGCACTGATGGTCAGTCATTAGCAGTGTTTTTTTTTTTGAGAGGGCATCTCTCATATTTATTGATCAAATGGTTGTTAACAACAATAAAATTCTGTATAGGGGAGTCAATGCTCAATGCACAATCATTAATCTACCCCAAGCCTAATTCTCGTCAGTCTCCAATCTTCTAGCAGTTTTTTTTTATGGATTTCTATTACAATTTTTGTTTCAGGTATACAACACAATGACTTGACAATTGTATATGTATATATAATGTATTTCTTTTGTGTGCCTGCGTTGATGGCGCTGAGCTCCGCTGGCCTGGAGGGGTGGCCGGGCTGCAGAGCTCGTCTGCGATTTTGTGGTTCTGCAGCCTAGGTGGTGGGCTGCTTACTTGTTAGTTCCTCAGTTGAGCAAATCCTCACCAATTTTTTTCTTTAAGGTACCACTGATACACAATCTTTGGAAGCTTTCACATGAACATTGTGGTTTCACTGTTCACCCATATTATTGAGTCCTCACTCCCCCTACTGCAGTCCCTGTCCGTCAGGGCAGTAAGATGCCAGTCATTACTGGTCTTCTCCGTGCTGTACTGCCTTCCCTGTGACCCACCTATATTGTCATTGCTAATTACAGTGCCCCTCGACCCCCTTCTCCCTCCCTCCTCACCCACCCTTTGGTAACTCTTTCCAACCTTCCCCTTTGGTAACCACTAGGCCCTTCTTGGAGTCGGTGAGTCTGCTGCTGTTTTGTTCCTTCAGTTTCATTAGCAGTCATTAAAAAAATATCAAATGGGACTAAAAATTCGGGGCGACTAACACCCAGTAAGGGATGCCTGCAATGATACAGGGGGAGTGGTGGTGGTGGTGGTGGGATAGCTGCTGCTTCAGCTGCACCCAGGGCTAGAATCAATGGGATAGGCTTTGACCACTCGACTAAGAAACTTATTTCCAAAGTGGGTTCCCCCACAGCAGGCCCAATATGGGGATGATTTCTAGAATAACAGTAGCTATGATCAATAATCTATGAAATCTTATTGATTTGGCTTCCTCTAAGACTTTGCTCAAATATATAGATCTTCTGAAGTTTATCTTTAAGGAAACAGGCTTCAAATGTACAGTGGATGAGAAGGAAGTCCCAGGCAGGTGACATTTTCAAGGAATCTGGAGGGCTCTGCTAACAATTTTCTGTATTGGTGTTGTCTGTCTGTCTTATGTGGATACATTAGGTTTCAGGGCCCCTGCTGGGGCCTGAGTGGAAGAGCACAGGCCGCTGTGCCCCGGGGGAGGGTGGGTGTGCTCTGCGCCTGTGCTCACCTGTCTCTTGCCCTCAGAGGTGCGGAACTACATCTGTGATGAGTGCGGACAGACCTTCAAGCAGCGGAAACACCTTCTTGTCCACCAGATGCGCCACTCAGGAGCCAAGCCTCTGCAGTGAGTGGGGTGGGGTCGTGCCTGCTCATAGCCACACTGGCACCGATGCCCTTGCTCAGCTGTCCCTGTCCTCCCAGGTGTGAAGTCTGTGGGTTCCAGTGCCGGCAACGGGCGTCCCTCAAGTACCACATGACCAAGCACAAGGCTGAGACCGAGCTGGACTTTGCCTGCGACCAGTGCGGCCGGAGGTTCGAGAAGGCCCACAACCTCAACGTGCACATGTCCATGGTCCACCCCCTGACACAGACACTGGACAGGGCCCTGCCTCCAGAGGCGCCACCAGGGATGGCAGAGGGCCAGGCTGTGAAGCCAGAGCCCACCTGAGGGTGCCTCAGCCCCCAAACCTGCCAGGCAGCAAGTGGGGTTTAAAGGTTTTAATAGCTACTCCCATGACCTGATGGCACAGCTTTGCTTGCTCACCAAGAGCCCCCCACTGGACCCCCACCTTATGTGTCGGGAGGGCAGGAGGCGCTGCTCTGCTGGCTGGTGGCAGTGGGTTCTGCGTGCGGTTCAGGTAGCTTTGCCAGCCGCTTTGGGATCAGTGTTTTCCTACCGACACTGAGTGACTAGGAGCCAGATACAGGGTTTGAATAATTGATTCCTCTTTCCCACTAAAGCAATCAAGATTTGTAACCCACTTTTTAGTGCAACAAGAGCTCTGATGTTATGCTTGTAATAAATTATTTACAAAGGAGCTGGGCTGTGCAAGATCCAGTTAGAAGAGACAGGGCTCCTGGTAGAGGTCAGTGTCAGGTGTGGCCTGCAGCCTGCACAGGAGGGCAGCATGCACTTCTGGGTCATCATCTCCACTGGTGGCCAGGAGCTGCAAGGAAATACCCATGCTCAGTCAGCCCCGCAGACCCCAAACATCATGGGCACTGAGAGGAAATGGGTGACCACAGCCCAACTAGCAAGTGGCCCTGGCAGCCATGATGCTGCAGAATCTCACTGTACCTAGGGTGGTGCAACCTCTTCCTCGTGTTTAAAGTGATTTGGACTTAACACACACCCCTGTGAGCATCTGGTATTACCTTTGCCATGTCTGAGAAGCTGTTTTTTGGGCACCGAGGTATTGATTGCAGCAGAAAAAGGCGAGCTTTTGCTATCAGGCCTACAGGGTCATCCTAGAGAGAAGACAGACAGAGCCACGGGTCAGCTTGCTGTATGGGTCCACAGGACATGGTGTCGACAGGCCTGACCCAGCACGTGCCTGGCCCTGGTGCTCATGACTCCTGCTGGCTGGTATTGAGACTGCACTTGTCTCCCCGGCCACAAAGAGGTGGACCAGCTTCAGGTACATGTTGACAGCAACACGCAGGAATGCATCTTCTCTGATGGGGGTGTCTTCATTAAAGTAGGGGAGAAGGCTGCAGGGGAAGGCAGAAATTGTCAGGTGGCTCTGAGGCCTGACAGCTCAGTGGTACAGGAGGAGTTGCTCATCTGAGGAAGGACAGTGAAGGCAGCCTTGTAGCATGACCAGAGCAGGCATAGCTACCTGTAGAAGGCAAATGGCAGGAGCCTGATGTACTGGTCTGGGGCCAGGCGCAGGAGGACACGTCCCAGGTTGGCATCTGCAACGCCAAGAGGGGACTCAGCCCTGTGGACACATCCCACCCCAGGATCTGTGTCTTTAGGGACATGGTGTGCCGCTGGAAGGGGCCGTGTCCTCGTGCTGGAGGGCATTAGAGCCGGGGACTCAGTGGGCTCAGTAGCACCCTGGGGTGCGCAGTACTCCACTGAACCCACTCCGTCTTGAGTTTACACTGCCTTTGTCCTGACCAAGATGGGGTTTATATTCTTAATAAGAAACTAATAAAAGTGAGATTGTAGAGGGAGCCCCCAGGAGGGCTCATTTCTTAGCCATTTGAAGGTTGCTTCTGAAGAGGACTGAAAGGTCAAGACCTGAGCATAAGCCAATGGGTCACCTACGTTCCTCCCTAGCACACAGCCTATGACTGCGATGGCCCCAGGCGGCATGCCTGCCATTACCTCGGGGCCTTACTCACCGGTTTCCGCCAACTGGAAGAGCCCCAGCCAGCAGATCTTCTTCTCCTGCAAACACCCCAGGATCTCAGCACAAACGTCCAATGCCTTCTGGGAGTCGACAGCCTGTGGCCCAGGAAGGGAGAGTGGCTACACCAGAGCGTCTGCAGAACTGCTGCTGCTCGCTGGGGCTTAGAGCTGCATTCGTCCCTGAGGGCAGGGACCCTCAACACAGAAAAAAACTTTTCTTGCTCTGGGTTTTAAATGGCGACAGCTCAGTAGGAGGCAGAGGCCAGGGACCCTGTGCCCAAGTTTCAAAATGAGACATCATAGGAAAGGCCCATGTGGCCTTGGGGTGCTCACTCCTGTGAGTAACAGGACTCCTGAGAAACTGAAAGGATCCAGGGCCCTGCCTGTGGTAGGAGGGCCATTGTAGCTGGTGGGGTCTGACTTACATGTGGGGTCAGATGTGAGGAGAGCAGGGCCAGCAAGGAGGAGAAGAACAGGGGGAGCAGGAGCTGCAGGCAGAAACAGGCACAGCCAGGATGGCGTCCGCCACACTGCCCACCCACACCCACAGGCCTCAGGCACAGCTTTCCTACAAGCACATCTCCTCAAAAGGAAGAATGCCCAGTTGCTTTTAAAGGCTGACTGAGAATAAGGCATGAGTGACAGGCCATTATGTATTGCCTTTACACACAGCTTAGAGAGTGGCTGCTGTGAGATCGGGCCATTGCTGAGGTCTTGGCATGAGACCTACTTACGGCCCAGCCGCATTCTGTCCCCACAAGTGTGTGTGTAAAACTCCTGGAGATTAACCCACAGGCTCCATCCTGACCTGCCTCTCCCAACCCCTGGAGTGTGGGCATCCCCAGGCTGGGAGAGGCCCTTTTGTGGACAGCATCCCCTTGGCACACTCAGGCCTACGGCTTTGGACCCACTAAAATCCCTTCCAACAAAAACAGTCTGAAAACAAACTTGAAGGAAGCTTCATTATGAAAACCCTCAGCCCCTCGGCTGGTCTAGTCATCAGGCAGGTGGGTCTGTCCTGAGCTGACAGATGGGGCCTCAAGTCACAGAACCAACAAGAGTTCAGCTAGGGGAGATGAAGGAGCCCGAGGGGCTGTTCTCCCCTTCCTCAGGCTGAACCTCAGGCTGCCCCGTCCCCCAACCATAGGAGACAGCTAAACTACATAAAAGCACTTCTAAAATCAAGTAGACTGCACAGTTTCCATCAGTAAACTGGAGAGTCAGACTTCAAACTTAAGAGTCACAACAACTCCAAACATCCTGTCCTTGGACAGGCGGCTGGGGTGAACCTGAGAAACGCTGATCGGACACCGAGCACAAGCAGGGCCCCTCTTGCCTCCTCTCTCTGGCAGTCCAGCTGCTGCAGCCCTCTCGAAATGCTGGCTCTCCCGGCTCGCTGAATCTCGTGGTGCAGCGCGACAGCAGAGACCCAGGCCGGGCCAGGCGCGGGGGACAGTGTGTCAGGGGAGAGGACACTGCAGACAGGGACGCGTGTCACCCCATGAGCTTTGACACCACCGAAGCTCAAAACCTCCTGAGGTCCTTGTTCCCCATCAAGACACCAGCCCTGCCCCAAGGGGAGCAATGAGGGGTTGCAGAATCAGCAGGTGCAAGGTCTGCACCTCTAATACCCCACTCCACTCGGGGACCTGTGATGGTGGAGGCCCAGGCCTGTGTCACGGCCTTGTCCTCAATTTGGGTCTGGTTTCCAGCTTGTTAGCACGTCTGCACCGTGGACATGAGGTACCTGGCAAGGCCTGGAGAGGGCACCTGGGCCCAGCGGCCTGAGCTCAGAAGGTAGGTAGGAGACACCGAGGCCTGTCACCTAGAATCCATCATGCAGACCCCAGAGGTCTGCCTCTGGCCCTCCACTTACTCAGTCCCTGCTCTGGCTGCAGGGTGGCACTCAGAAGGCCCTCCAGCAGGTTAGAAACGGGGCCAAGAATCAATAATGAACATAATGTCGTGACTTAAGAAACCTCAATCTGCTGACTCTGTAGAGTTCAGGCTGATGGACAGACTTGCTCCCCTTGTGTTCTGAGTTTTCAAGCACCCCTGACCCTGCAGGGAGGACAAACTTGAGTCACAAAGTGAGACAAGAACAGACAGGATGGGGTGACTAGCAAGTGCTCCTGAGGGCCTCCAGGGCCATGGCACGCCCAGACCCAAGGCCCGGGGACCCCTGCTCCTCTCTCAGCCCTGTGAGGCACCATCCCTGGGCTGGGTGGGCCAATAGATAGGAAAGCAGCGACCTGCGGAAATCAGTCCTTCCCAGAACACCCTTCAGCTTTCTCGTCCAGGAACCTGTCAGCTGGGGCTCTGACCTTTCAAGTGGGTCTTGTGTAGATGACCTAGAGTGGGTGCTAAGCAACATTCATGCCTCCCCCCCTCGTCCTACTGCCAACACTTGCCTCCTGGCAAACTGCCGGGCCTCTTGCAGCTGCTGCAGCCCTCGGGGCAGCGGGCTGCGGGTGCACCTTTCCCACCGCCAGCGAATCTCAGGCTCCAGGCGTGGCCACCACAGCTGTGGAAGGAGATTACCAATGAGCAGACCAGCGGTGGCTGGATTTGATGTCTCCCATCCCCATAATCAGGAATGGGAAACGTCGAGTGACAGTCTGGACAAGAGGGGTCTCCACTGCCTGACCCCCACCACTCCAGGGGTCCCCTTGGCTTCAAGTGCAGCACCATCTGTGTCTCATGTGAGGCTCAAGGCAGTCCCATGAGGGGCTTTCACCCTCATCTGCTGAGGACTTGGGGTCCCCTAGAGCCGAGTCTGAACACAGAACAGTATTTCCGGCGAATACCAAAGACCAGGTGACGAGCCAGGCCAGATGAGGGGCTGGGCAGGGAAAGGCTGCTCTGGGGGGATAGAGCCGGCGTCCATGGCTGCTGGCCTGGTCCTAGCGGAACTGGGAGAGCTCGTTCAGAGTGAGCGGGGTCACGGAGAGGTCAGACCAGCAGGGCAAAGGTGGCGGCTGAGACCACAGATGGTGCGGACAGTGCAGGCACGAGGGCCCGGCCAGCCCCACCGAGACACAAGGAGGCACTTGGGGGCCTGTCACAGCGCCCGTGTTCTGCGGTACTCTTATTCACCCCAGTTTCGCCAAGGCCTTTTCTCTTACAAGAACTAGGATGAGTCTGTCGTGGGAAATGGGAAACGTGCTCCTGAGAAGCCTGAGGTGGCTGTGGGGCTTGGGCCTGTGCCCAGTTCAGGAGCACCCCAGGAAGCCAGGCCAGGCCTACCAGGGCAGAGGTCAGAATGAGAGGGCACTCGGTCTGGCAGGCAGTCAGGGTCACGTTGGCTGTCAGGGAGGGGTCTCTGCTTTGTGAACAGACGTTGAGGAGCCCCTGCAGGGGAGAACATGCCAGAAACTCAGCAGTTTGCAAATGAACCCAGACCCTGAAAGACCATGGCTCTGAGGCACCCTGGACATGAGGACCCAGCTGAGCAGTGAGAGCAGGAACAGATGGAAGTGCAATTACCCTGAAGAAATGGAGGGTGATGTCGTGGCTCAGTGTACCTCCGTGAGAACAGATGTTTCTCTGCAAAACAGCACAGGCCAGTGAGAACAGGACCAAGGTTGGGGGGCACAGGCTGCCACAGCCAGCAGCCCACCAATCCTGGAGGCCAGCAGGGTAGGTGGCCCGGGTCCACCGCTGCTCCAACCCTCCTGCTGGCTGGCTGGCTGGCACAGGCCAGTGGCTCCCCCTAACCCCCGGCCCCCTTCAGGCACTCAGCTGAGTTTGCAGGCCATTCTGAGAAGACTTTAAGGAAAACAGCCTCTGGCAAGCACTGAAGGAAAACCTCATCTCATTTCCTCTGCTTTCCAATCCCCTTTTTGAATCTCCACTCAATGGGATGGATGGATCCGTAGCTCAACCACTAGTTGTATTTGTGCATTTTTAAAACCCGGGAAAACTTAGGAGTTTTGAGTCACTGCCTGCGAGAGTGCACATGGGCTGCAGGACAGAACAGAAGTGCCTGGCACCAAGCCACGTGTGCCATGGAGGGAGAGGGTGCTCGCTATAGCACGACCTGGCACTTTGGCCCCCGAAATGTCACGACTGGGTCCAGGCTGCCGAGCCTTGGGAGCCCCGAGGCAGCAGCGGTTCCCACGTACAGCCATGCTTCCCGAGGCCGCCAGCACCGAGTGACCAGACGCACTCATGAACACTGAAAAACCAGCCCTCAGTGACCAGGTCACCCCTCATCCTGTGTCCCTAGGTCACTGACATCACACCTACCAGCTCAGAGGTGACCAAGTGGAAGAACTCGTCACAGCTGTGGGCAATGGGCAGTTCGGCTTGGGGGCTGCCGAGGAGGAGAGACGGAGGCAGGCAGAGGAGAATCCTTGGGAAGAAGGCATGTGTCAGCTCCTTCCCGAGACCTCAGAACCTGCTCTTGGAACCTGGGCCTCTGGTTTCAGCCCTCCTTAGTCCCGCCTGTCCCAGATGAGCCCACTGCAGATGCACTGCGTCACTCAAAACCACTCTCTAAGTTGCTAATAACCAAGGAGGAGGTGTGCGTGGCCTAACAAAGCAGCTCCTGAGAACTGGAAATCCATATCGTTTCATGCTCTACTATGAACACACTGTGATAAGCAGTTTTCCTTGTTTTGATGTGAGCTCTTTAAGGCCACAGCCTTCGACAGAGGGGCTCCTCAGTCTGAGGAGGAAGGCTTTAATCCAATGTGCAGACCCCACTCTCCATGGGAACCCCAAGGAGAAGATGCCGTTACAGGCTGAGCGTCAGATACGAGTGATCAGTGGGAAAGGAAACCCAGTGCAGAGAGATTCTGGGATGGGGTGCCATTACCGTTTGTACACAAGCAGCTCCTGCTGCCTCTGAAGGCTGGTGGCCACATCCGATCCGCCTGCCTGAGCCTGGAGCCGCCTGCGGAGAGCCCTGACAAGGCGGTGCCCCCGAGAGGGAGAGCAGCCCTGGGCCACGGCAGGGCCCTGTTCCAGGGCAGCAGCCATCTCCTGGAAAACAAGGCCAGACCCTCACATACTTTCTCTGGTTCCAGGTGCTTCTCTGTCCCTGGATGTGGAGGCAGAAAGCCCCTGGGGCTGCCAGTCAGCCCGAATCAGGACCCTGAGACAGGCTTGGGAGAAAGGGCTCCATAGGGACTAGGGTGAATGGGATAGTCCTTTTTACTTGGAAATCATTGAAAAACTGCAAAAACTAAATAAAAATGGCAGGCTGAACACCTTTACCCAGATTCACTATGGCTAACATCTCCCGTTCACCACCTGCCGCTTCCATACACATGCGTGGGCATAGCCTGAGGGCGAGCCACATGCAGAGCAGGCACTTGGACACCTGACCAAAAGCACATGTGCAGAGCCCGCTCGCGCACACAGATGTAGGGAAAGAACAAGCTGAGCACCCACATCTAAGCATGACCCCATCACGTGTGACCCCGAGCCCACAATGCACTCTGTGTCTGCCCTCTAATGACCAGTCACAATGGACATGGGAGGACAGATGGTCAGGATCAGGGCTTGGGGACCTGGGGGTCTTTTTTTGTGGGATGCCTGTGAATAAATTTTCCCAGTGCTCCGAATCCAAACCACGCCCTTGTGGCTTCTCTCTCCCCACATTTAAAAGATTCAGGGACTTCACTCGCAGCAGAAATGCTGCTGGGAAGCGTGAGGCCTCCACGCAGAACCCTAGAAAGCAGAGCCACAAGCGCACTTCCAACGGTACAGACCCCAGTGTACACAGTGGGTGGGAGGCTCGGAGGCAGGGGCCTTGGTCTGAACTATGAGCCCAGAGCTCACTCTCAGGTCCGACCCTCGTCGTCCTAGGAAGACCAGAGGAGCCAGAAGACACTTTCCACTGTGGACTGAAAACAGCCCTCCTGGGCTCTCCAAAGTGCCTCTGCCGGAGACAAGAGCCTCCAAATTCCGCTGAGCCGGTCCTCTGCCAGATGCATTCAGAGCAGTGTCCCTCTGGGTCTCAGCCACTGTGTGCATGGTGCAAGTTTTCATTCTGCTGAGCTGCCGTAGGATCCATTACGGATAGTCATAATAAATACCTTTATAGCAGATGGCTCAAATGCAGCAAACACACTGAGTTTTCCATCTTCTAACTCACCTGCAATCTGGAAAAAATATCCCGATTTCTTATGTAGCCACTGAGAACAAAATCAGAATCCTCTGAGCCGTTGTAACTCTTTGAACTGGAAAACAAACACAGCAGAACTCGCCCTAAGTATCCCCTGGCTGCTGGAGTTCCTACTCCTCCTGTCTCCAGTGCCAAGTGCTCACAAAGCTAGGAGGTCCCTGGGGTCTGTGTGACACAGTAATCAAGAACAACAAAATACCAGCAACCCAAACCCAGCAACATAGAAAGAGAACCATGTGTCATGACCAAGTGGGACTTACCCCAAGAATGCAAGGTTGGTTCAACATTCAAGAATCAATTGTAATACACATATTGATAGAATACAAAAATACCATGTGATCATCTCATTATATGCACCTTAAAGCATTAGATAAAAATATGCTTTAATGATAAAAACAACAAAATAGGAACAGAAGGGAACTTCCTCAGGCTGATAGAGGATGTCTATGAAAACCTACGGCTGACAGCACGCTTAGTGGTATGAGACTGAATGCTTTCTCTGAGATCGAGATGAGACGTCCTCATCACCACTTCCACCCAGTTCCATGTCATGTGCTGGAAGTTCCAGCCTGGACAATTCACACAGAAAAAGAAAAGGCATCCAGATTGGAAAGGAAAAAGTTAAACCGTATCTGTCATAGATGATGACCCAATCTTATATTAAAAGCCAAAAAAAATCCCAATAAAGAACTATTAGAACAATGAACAAGTTCAGTGAAGTTAAAGGATCTGAAATCAATATTCAAAATTTGTTGTACACACTAGCAAGGAATAATCCAAAAATGGAATAAATAACTCCATTTTCAGTGGTGTTGAATAAAATACTTAAGAATAAACTTAACCAAGGAGGTGCAAGAGTTATACAGTGAAACTACAAACTTTTTTGGAAAAAAAAGAAGACCAAAATAAATGTAAAGAGATTCCATTTTCTTGACGGGAAGACTCACTATTGTCAAGATGGCAGTACCCCCCTAATTGATCTACAGATACAAATGTAACCCCGATCAGAATCCAGGCTAGTTTTGTACAATTTGACAAGCTAATCTTAAAATTCAGATGGAATTACACAGTGCCCAGAATACCCAAAACAAGCTTGAAAAAGAACCAAGTTGGAAGACTCCCATTTCTCAATTTAAAACTTACTACAAATCTACAAAAATGCAAACAGTTGTTCCAGTTGTGGGGAAAGGTAACATGAGTTCCTGAGAGGCGCCAGCTGGTTCTTGTGGAGAACAGAAGGGTGCTGGGAAAAATAAAGGTGTCTGTCCTGTTGTGTCTTAAGTAACCATTTGCCAGGACAGTGTTTACTAGAGGGTAAAAACAGAACTAGTTTTCTGTGACTGAAGTAATATGTCACCTAAAGTATGGAAAATGGGATCTTGCAGAACCTACCAACTTATAGAGTGACTGTGAGGGCGCAGAGGCAGACACACTGCCCAGCAGGAGGGCGCCTGTAGGCCGAGAGGCCGCGGGTTGCTCTGCCTTGTACAGTAGTTGGCCCACGGCTCATGCTAGTGCCTCCTGCCCCTTGGCCTTTGGTTCCACTCTTCCCAACTGCTGACCCTGAATACCAGGTGACAAAGGACAACAGTCGTTGCCGCTGACAAACCTACACATAACAGCAGATCTGAGCGGCCTCAGATTGCTGATCAGGATGTGTTCAGGGGCACTTTGTACAGCGCAGACTGGACTGAGAAATACACACTCGTACTTAGACCCTCCAAAATTAAAGGTAAGGTGCCTTTTGGCATTAGCATGGCTCACCTTTGGCAGAAGTCCATGAGGGCCTCAATGAGGACTGTGCATGCGGTTTCCAGGTCTCCACCGCAGCCCCCGGCGGCACAGTGCTTGGGCAGGAAGTGCTCATAGATCGCCCACTGGTGGAAGTCCCACCTGCCACAACAAAGACAGATGTCTGCGCTGAGAAAGGCTGCAAGCCAGGGGTTCCCACAGCCAGGAAGGGAGCCCGTAGCAAGGTGCAGGCCCACCACCACTGATCCGGGCCCACTTGAGGCCGCCCTGCTGGCTGGCTGCCTGCTCACTGCTGCTGAGCTAGGGAACGGAGTAGGCACCTGCGGTCCGACCAGGCTGAGCCATTCCAGGTCTGGACTAGGCTCTGCAGGTGCCCACAGGAAAGGTGTCAAGGACACACTGACTAAAGGCTGCAGCAGCCAGGACACTGCAGTCGGCCAATGCAGCTGAAGTGGCGAGGGCCCCCCGAGGCTCTCCAGAACTCATCCAGGTGTCACTTGTGAAACTATAGAAGCTCTGAACGGCTGCAACACAGTGACCTGAATGTAAGCTAAGAAATGGTTATTATGATCCTCACTCCAGAAATCAATTCCTTCTTTTCCAAAGGGCAAGAGGAAGAGACCTCAGGGCATGGGGGGCCCCCAGAGCGGGCTGGGTGCCGCTAAGAAGCAAGGCCCCGCGTATAGGAAAAGCAGGTGCTCTCTCCGGAATCCGACAGGAGACAAGGTGGGGAGACAGGAAGGGTGGCCAATGCTGTCCCCTGACTCTGGTGCCCCCCAGGCTCCTGGTAGCACATCTCCCCCTTTGAGCAACCCTCCCCCACAACAGGCCTATTGCACCCCAGAGCAGCACACCCAACCTCCCAACGGCCGCTCTATCAGCCCCGGAGGGGCTCAAGAGCCTCGTCACCTGCTCCTGGTGCCAGCGCTCCACGCACCACTGGCCTGGCCCACTGCCTCCCCAGCACACACGCTCTCACTATGGGAGTTTCTGAGTGCCGCCCAGCACCCAGCTGTCTGGTCTACTGCTTCCCCAGCACAGAAAGGTGCATCCTACTGTATAAGTGCCTGGTCAGGGTGCTGGGGCAGGTGAGCCCCATCTGCGCGAAGGTGCCATGTGAGCAGGCTTGTCGTTCACCCAGAACATCCTCGAGGTTCTGGACAACAGCAGGAGCTCAATAAATGTTTCTTGAAAAACGATGACTGAACTGCGGAGGCTGTACCACAGTTGCATGTATGGTAAACCAAACACTGGATTGAGGATATGGCAGGACCCAGACATTAAGACCACGAAGAAAACCGTGTTGACACTTTAAAGGGACTCCACACACTTACCTTTCTGTATCTGAAAGAGAATCAACTTCAGGCTGAATTTCCAGCTCCAGCTGTAACCAGTCTCTGTAAGTTAACTGAGAGAAAGGGACTCACTGGGCAGTGAGGACAGGACACATGAGCAACAGCCTGTTGATGCGTCTGCCACGTCGTGTCACTGCAGATCCGTGTGCTGCTGACATCACCACCGAGTTTTGTAAAGGCCACGGCTTGCATGACATGGGGGCACCAAGCCCTGATGAAGAACTGATACATTGCTTAATTTAATTCTGACCGTGGAGCTAACACTGTACTTCTAGGTTGAATTCTCCAGCATCTGCCCAGTTTTGGGCAGTGAGCTGTGGCACCTGTGAGCCTCCTACAAACCCCTGTGCTCAAAGCCCAACAGCACCGGGACATAAAGGATGAACACGGTGCAGTAACACTTCAAACAGCCACAGCAGCGCACTCTTATTTTGTGCTGTGTTGACAGAGACTCATCTCAAGCGCCCCTGCTCCTCACATAACCACACCTGCTCCCGTCTATGAAAAAAATGTAATAGAACAAATGAGAATTTTTTTCTCTAAAGACCAAAACAAGCAGGCAAACAACCCAAGAAACAAATGAGAAGTTTTGAGCAGGAGACAAGTACCCCAGGCACGCTGGCCGCAGCAGCTCCCAGTGACAAACTGGAGGTCAGCGGGTATGTTTAAAGCACGTTTTTACTCATCCTAAATGTTTTCTGCACAATGCTGGTACTGGGAGACACTGGGCCAAGCAGAGGGACCTCTGTCCTCTCTCAAACTGCCCGGGTGCCCACAGCAATCCTGATACGGTTTCAAGGAAAGCCGCGTATGCTGCCCCAGCGTCAGGCTCCCTGACTGCCTACCATATGCCCGCACACCCGAGAGTTAGGATGGGGGGAGGAACTGGGCAGGGACCGTGAACCTACATGAAGTTCTCTCTCCGTCAGTAGTTCCCAGAAAGTGCTGTGTTTCCACAGACAGAGGGCGGCTTGCTGCCAGTCTGTAGCAGGCAGGCACAGGGGCCCCCAGGGCAGGCCAGCTGTGTCCTCCTGGCAGAGGGGGTCCCGGGCTTCTGAGAACAGTCTCAGCACAATGAACTGGAACTGAAGAGAGACAGAGACATGTCTGCCATAAGAAGCAGCCCTCAAGTGGCCGGCTGTGCACAGCAGGGCAGTGTGTGCAGACCCACGGGCACCAGGACTCCTCAGGGACACTGTGGGCACCGTACTCCCAGCTGCAGATGGATTTTCAGTGAACAGCCCAGCCCTGCCTGTAATCCTGCTGCACATCTGTCTGTCCCCTTGGGCAAAGTTCCTCCAAGCAGAATTACTGGGTCTAATCTGTGCAGGGTGGTGCCGGCCTCAACCTGCAGCCATGAATAGGTGTCTTCACAGGCCTCTGCCAGCACTGGTGTTCTCATAAAGAAAGTGTGCCAACTGGACACGCATCATGCTGCCAGTGGTGTACAGCTTTGTATGTACTGCCTACTGGGAGGCTACGGTTTTCCCCATGTTCATCAGGGTAGCCACACGGGGGTACGGGACACACCTGGGAACCAGAACTGGGAAGCGGGGCAAGGCCTCCTGGCCTAGGCCACTCCTCCCCATCTTCATTCCTCGCTTTAAAGCTTCAGCACCTGGGACTAAGCTCCTTGATGCCAGTGACTAGGGAGCACAGATGTGCTCCGGGCCCCGGAGCCTCCAATGCCAGCCTGACTGGGCAGCCCAGGGCAGGCGCTCTCAGACACTTTGCAGCTGATCATGATGTGGAACCTACAACTGGGGAGGGGTTTAAACTCCATGAGCTGTTCCTTGAATGCTGTACAAGGAATGACACGGGCTTAAGCTCTAATTCCACCTTTCCTTGTGAAAAGGAAAGTTCCTAACAGGCATCTTTAAATTTCTTGGTTTTCTAATTAATATACCAAGCATCCACTAGATGAGGGGAATTCTTTAGAAGAAATTTATAATTCTTCTTTACATGCAAAGATACTGCCATAGGAAGAGGCAGTGTTCAGGTAAAGCAGCTGAGGCAGCTGCCAAGAGACAGCCAGGTGAGCAGGGTGCACAGAGCTGCAGGCCAAGGGGAGGGGCTACAGAGAGCAGAGACCTCAGGCTGTGGCCAGAAACCTGCACGAGACTGGAGACTCAGAGAAGAGGAAAGAGGAGCCCAACAGACCTACCTTTTTTATAAGGCCTGGAGATAAACAGCTGCATAAAATATCACGTGACTGCGAAAACTTACACAAGGAATAAGAGATTGCTGCTGTACAAAATCTGAAATCAGATAACAAATCGTAATGTCGATATGTAGTCCATGCAAAATGAGGGATGAAAGGAATGTTAGTTTGAGTTTCACAAAAGTGAACGGATGGCATTCTAAGCCAGGTGGCTAGTGGTCAGTCCCTGGCCTTGGCCAGCTCCTCTGAGTGCTTGGTTACACCCCTGTGTCACACGTCTGGTCTGAGCTCTGTCCCACTGAAGGCAGAGCCTGGGGAAACACATGAACATCTGGACTCCATGAAACAAGGGCTTGCTTTCCCTGCCTAGAGAGAGCTGTAGCCAGAACAGAAATAAAATCAGGGGACACGCCAGGGCAGGGGAGGGATTGCTTGTATAATTATGCAAAAAAGCTTGCATTCCTTCCTAGAAGTCTGTAGAATCCATGCTCAGTTTTAAACTCAGCCTCAGGGGCAGCCTTTGCCTGCCAGTGACAGGCTGTCAAGTGTGGCACAGAAGGAAGCCGGGTGCCTACAGTGCTGACTCCCAGTGGGAATGGTCTGGTGCTGGCAAATGCCCAGGAGGGGCAGGCCCACTCTGCCTCCCGCTGTGGACAGCATGCGCCCTGGCATCCCTATGCTGTCTCCCTGCCTCGTCGCATTCTTTACAGCCGTGTCAGTTCTGTTGAGGAACTTAGACCCAGTCCAGCCAGCAGCCCCCATGGGAGCCTCCTGACGTCTTGTCCTGACCTTCCGTCCACCTTGGCGGCTGCTGAGCTCTTCAGCCTAGTCACCACGGGCTCCCCAGGGCTCCGCCCACTCGGCTCACAGGGCCTCACCTCCACCTGCCCACCTCTCCCAGCAACTGCCACCCCAAATGCCTCACACTCCACTGCCTCCCAGGCTCCACCCCAGGCCTGGCACACAAGGTGCAGTGAGTGAACAGTGGGATGTACACTGGCACAAACTGGTAGGACAATGGGTCTCAGAGCCCTTTAAGGTGAGCTTACAAGCTCCTTGTGTAGGAATTTACCCCAGAGAGACAGCCACAGCATGAGGCTGCTCACCACAGGGAGGCCTGGGAATCTGATCAACCAGCTGCCGGCACCCTGAGACGGAGCTGCTCTCACACAGCCCTGAGGTGGGCTTGAAGGCACGCAAGGACCTACAGCCTGTCTCTCATCTCTTAACAGGCAGTTCAGCAGTAAAGTGGAACAATCTCAGACACAAAGAACGCCTCTGGAAGGACAGACACCAAAACGTCAGAGGGTGATGGTCCCTGGAGCCCTGCTTCTGCTGATTTTACCCGATGAGCATGTGTTACTTCAGCCAAGAGACAGCAGAGAAGCCCAAGGGCAGGGGAGCAGCTCACCTGAGGCAGAAGAGCGAGGACTCCTTGGTCATGCAGGTCAGGAGGCTGTTGAGGAACTCGGGGACGGAGAGGCCCCAGGCAGGGGCACAACAGCCCAGGTGCGCCTCCGGGAGTGCAGGCCTGCACTCACCGAGGTGGACAGCCAGGGCGGCCAAGCCCAGCACGTGTGAGGCGCGCAGGCTCGGGCCCTGAGGTGGGAAAAAAGTTGTTCTGCAGGAGGGGAGGAGCAGAGCCCACTTCCCAGAACAGGGGCTGGGGGTGACAGCCATACCTGGTGGCGTAGCAGCTGGCAGAGCCTGGTGAGCATGGCGGGGAGGAGTGTGCACCCACACACGGCCATCACAAAGCGGGTAGCCCAGGGGCCCTGCCTGCAGGGATAGAGAGGCCTGCAGCGATGGCCACTCCTGGCCCGCACGGCCCTCCCTCTGAATCTGGGACAAGCAGTCAGGCTCAGGCAGCCTGAGGAAGAACCCAGCTGTTCCCCAGACAGTGGATGTCCAGCAGAGATGCTTGACCTCTGACACTCCCCAGCCTGACGGAAGTCTGCCCAGCCCTCCACAGACTGGGGCCCCTCAACCAGTACAGCAGGAAGCTGGAGGGCAGGGGGCAGCACCGAGCTGGACCAGGACCGAATGGCCATGGGGGCTCCCCCAGAGCACCGAGGCAGCTGCAAGCACCCAGTGAAGCTCCAGCCTGTACCTGTCTGGCAGGGCGAAGCTGGAGGCTACCACTAGGTTCTGACAGAAAGAGTTCAGCAGGAGATCGACGACCTGGGGGAGAGGGTCATTGAGGGCATGGCCGCAAGGCAGCACAGTAGCTGACGATGCAACGTGTGCACCCAGGACACCGAGGCGGGGCTCTGCTGAGCCAAGGAGAGGCCCCGGTCTGGACCAGTTGCTACAAGACCCCATTCCCATACCCTGGGCATGTGACAGGCCAAGCGTGGCACATGATGCCATCATAGGGCTTCACAGCAGATCAGGGTCAGGGCCCTTTGTCTAGAAAGGACCGAAGACTAAGTATTTAGGCTTTGAGGCCACCAATGGCTTCTGCTGCATGTTCTTTTTTTGTATTTTTTAATTTAAAAAATTTTTGCTATCATTAATCTACAACTACATGAAGAACAAACACTATGTTTACTAGGCTCCCCCCCTCACCAAGTCCCCCCCCCACACACCCCACTATAGTCACTGTCTATCAGTGTAGCAAGATGCTGCATGTTCTTTTTAAAAAATTTAAATAAGAGTTTGGGCACAAACAGGGCGGGCCGGTGGGCCCTGGTCAGAGTCCCCTCTGCTCCTGAACGTCCTGCTTCTACATGCAGTCCACCTGTCATAAAGCTGCAGTGCAGAGGGCTCTCCCTTCAGTGCCCAGGCATGATCCAGAAACATGCGACAGCCCGTGACTTGGCGTCCTCACCCACCTTTTGTTCTGCAGCAAGGACGCCATCACCCTCATGGAGACCCAAGGCAGAGCTGAGCCTTTCAGAAATCACTGCCATCTGAGCAGACAGAGCTGCAAACAGAGATGCCCAGTTAGAGAGCGTGTGCCACAGGTGCATGGGGGAGCTGCCTGCTGCTATCCTGGGGCGCGCTCCTCCAGGACCAGGGCTGCCCGGGTCACCACTGCAGCTAACCGCTGCTTAGGCAGGAGCATCCGCCGGCCCCAGAGCTCTCATGCCCATTGCCAGGTGGGGAAAAGTAGTCTCCCTAAACAGCAGGTGGCAGTGATGAGACCTGGCAGGCGTGAGCCGGAGGCATGCCCACTGCCAGCCCCTGGATCATCAGGATGTCTCTCCACCACAAACCTCCACTTTTTATCTATATTCTCCACCCGAAGTCACATGCCAACTCTCCCATGTTATTGTAACTGTGGCTGGAGGCGCCGTATCCCAGGCACCATCGGGCCAGCCAACAGCCAAGAGCCACAGCCTCCGGGGGCCGGAGGGCGAGCAGTGAGCAGGCGGCCACACCACTTGGAAATAGAATCTCTGCTGCTTTTTAGAAACACGACTGACTTTCAGTAACCTGATGAAGGCCCGGGGTTCTCCCCCAGGCCTCGATGTCCCCAAACACTAAGTCCTGCAGGAGCTCAGCTCTGAAAGGCCGTGCTCCCCATGTGGTCCTGGCCGAGGCACTGCAGCCCCATCCAGGAGCAGTGGAACCAGGTGGTTTATCAGTATTTCCTCTGGGAGGCCTTCACGGGACTTTCTATCCCAGTTTGAATGAAATGAACTCATAAAAAAAAGTATTACAGTTACTACGTAAAATACAACTTACTAATTTTAGATTCTGCGTTTTTCTTAACAAAATCTGAAAGTACTGGAAGTTTTCAATTTATAGACCATTGTACACATGTGCTTTGAACTGGTCATGCTCTTCCTCCACAAGTAAACACCCAGGACAACAATCTCTAGAAGACGGTCACACAGAAGCAGGCGACCAGCACGGAGTGTTAGGCCACTCAGGGTAAGACAGGATCCACACCCTAGGCCACTCAGCTTCCTTCCTCTGTCCCGTCCCACTGGGAAGCCAAACAGCGTGACATTCCTCGGCACCAAGGGTGGTGACAGCTCAAGGGACCAGTCCCCCATCCCACCCTAAAGGAGGCCATGCTCCACAGCTGGTGCAGCAAGGTCAGGCTTAGCTACCCAACAATGAACTGCAGGGAATGCACGCCAGCCTATTGCTATGGGGGTGGGGCCAGCCGTTGAGCTCTTTCCACCCACCTAGCCCACGGACACCCCTGCAGACAGCCCTGCCCACAGCTGTCCTCACCGTCATGCTGGCTCGGGTCTGTCATCATGGCTCTGAGCTCCCGCAGGGCAGCAGTGAGCGGTTGCAGGGGCTCTTCTGCAGAGCCCAGCTCCTCCTTTGTGCCTGCAGCCGCACCTGAGAGGGGCGGGAGCCTTAACAGTGAGGCCAGACAGGGAACACCCGCAGCTGGGTGCCGACCTGCTCGCTGCCACAGCTCGCTGCTCTGTGTAGCAGAGTAAGACGAGGCCCTAGGCTCTCTGAGGAGGGAAGGGAAATCTCCCAACATGAGATGCTAACCATCATAATCAAAAAACATATTTATATCAACAAATGGACAAACAAAACACAAACAGGCTCACAGACCCAGAGAGCAGACCGGTGGCTGCCTGGGGTGGGGGTGGGGGAATGGGTGAAGCAGGTGAATGGGAAAAATCCGTGGGAATGTCTGGTGTCCCGGTCTTGGTCTTGTGATGGTCATGGGGGTGTGTACACATCAAAATGCATCGAGCTGCACACCAATATTTGTGTATTTTATTTTATGTACCTCAACAGAGGAAAAAGCAAATGGACACCTTAAAAAAACTGTTTGTAAATGTTTTAAGAAAAATTAAGCTCCAATGCACACCATCTCCACAATCATAAAGAGCATGCGCATAATGCGGAGGCAGCAGCAAGGAGCCCTGGGAGAGCAGACATGCGCAGTGGCGTTGATTCCACTTCTCAACTTTCCGTGAGTGTTAGATTGTTTTCTTTACAATAGGATGTCAACAAAAATGTAAAGAAAAAAGCTGAGAATTAGCTATAAAAGAGACAATTGCCAGTACTCAGCATACATTTAATAGATACACTAAATGCAAAAGAAAGACGGTTGTTCAAACACACCATTTTCATTACATAAAGGAAGACACACACATTGTTTTAAAGCCTGACAAGTCCAAGAAGACGCTAATTAAGGCACCGAGCCTCACACGGATCTCTCCCAAATGAAGCAAGAACCACGGACTCTAAGGCTCCCATGAATATTTAGACCAAGTATGAGAAAATATTCTAGAAGCCCCAAAGGTAGGACATGGGGCTGGGTGAGAACATGGCAGACACTGCCCTGTGGCCTCTGTGGTGTCCCCGGCACCACCGTGAGCACCCCCAACCATGTGTGAGATCTGGGACCTTTATTCTTTACCCACTCAAGTTTTCTGGGTCAGCATGGCTGCTAGAACTCTCCAAGCCTGCATTGATTCATTGGCCCCCAGTGAACGTGTGTGTCCTCATCCTGGTGGACATGGGGGCTGAATGCTCACCATTTATGACAACCCTGAGTGGTTTCCCAGGAAACTGCTGTTACAGAGGGATACGGGGGTAAGGCTATCAGAGTGAAACAAGCCGAATCCTGTTGGGAATAGGGTGTCTATCTCCAAAGGAGCATACTGTGTTATGTCTCTCCCATCCCTGGATATCTTTTGGGGTAAATATCCTGCAGGGTCTATGTTTGCAGACCACTGCAGGTGAGGATACATGTGGTAAAGGCAGTTAAGGGACATGCAAAGGGGTTCTGCAGACTGAAACAGACCACAACTGAGTGGAATAGCCTCATTCGGCCCAGTCATCTGGCAGATGTCAGAGGGTCTGAACCAGCAAATACAAGCCCTGCTTCAACACAGCTCCTGCAGCTTATCAAGGTGCCTTGCTGAGAAACCAGGTCTCTGCTGATGGCGCCTTATTAGTGGGCAGGGTGGGGCAGGCAGGATTTTGCCTGCGATAGACTAGGGTCTGCACTGCTGTCCCCACACAGACCGCCCAGCACGACACGTTTCAGAACCAACACCAAGGCCTCGAGCCTGGTTGCTGAGTCTGGGCCCACCTGAATTTGAAGCTTGAATTCAGAACAGCAAACAGAAACTACACCACCACCTTAGTGGGGTGCTTAAAGCTGGCAGGTAGGTGGTACAGTGCCGTCTGCCCTCCATGCAGCACTGTAGGAAGTACCCTCCCTGTCAGCTCACCTTCTAGGCCTTCAGCCTAAGAGCCGGGGAGCTGATATCATGTGGCTCTAGTGCCGGGCAGTCCCTGAACCCACAGCTCTGGCCTGGTCCCGCACAATTCAACTAGCCTGGCACGGCACCGGTAGGTGTCACCAGAACACCTCCTGATCGGGGGAGGGGAGACACAGGCACCACAATGACTCTGCGACCCGTTATCCTTACTTTCTGGATGCTTCTCTTCAGCAGCGGAGCAGGCTTGGTGGTAGGTGGAGTACAGAGATGGGGGGATTTTATCTAGTCTAAATCAGAAGAAAACATGAAAACCAAGTCAACAATGACTTAAATTTATTCTCAAGCTTACAATTCCAAAAACTATCATAAAATAAAAATGTGTGATATAGTAAATCTAAATAAATTATGTAACATTGTATATGCATGTTGACCCTGTTTTTAGAAAAAAAAATATGTGGATGTAAATGGCCTCTATTGTTTCATGATATCACATACAGACATCTGCCAAAGGTGGTTTTCACTGGAAAGTGAGATCATAAATGATTTTTACTTCTCTCATTCAAGTTTTGGTAATTTACAAATTTTATATGTGAACTTATGTTCCTTTTAATGAATACTAGAAAAACAACGAATAACATCTTGTCCTTGGACCTGACATGTTCAAGGACAAGAGCCAGAGTCACCTTCAGAGGAGCAGGAGTGCTAGCGGCAGCCCAGAAACAGGACACATGGGCCCGCGCTTCTGAACGGGCAGTCAGGCAGTGGGCACCTCCCCCGGGGGCGCTACAAACATGATGTGAGGATGCGCACGGGCACAGAGGCCCACAAGGGCCCAGGTGCATCCCAGGTGAGAATTCCGCTGCGGGACCTGCAGGGGACACGGCACTTCACCTGGAGTCTAGGCACCGGCACTGGGCAGCCTTTAGCTTAGGAAACTGAAACAGATGCGAATGCAGAGAAAGAGCGAATCCAAGAACATGGGGGACATTCCCAGGAAGAGAAACCTCAGGCATCACAACTGTTCACATTCTCAGAGAAGATGAAACACTGCTGCTGGGAAGCGAGAACGGGCGGCCACAAGAGGGACACCTGCTGGAAGAGACGGAGAACTGCGTGAGATGACAGGCAGGCGAAATGTAGGGAGAAGGAAAAAACAGCACCGGACATGCAAAGTATGGCAGGAGGAAAAAGAAAGACAAGCCCAGAGGTCTAACAGCTGAGAAAGAAAGGGGTTCCGAGGGGACCAGGCCACAGAGGGAAGAGGACCTGCCCTGAAACAAGCCAGGAAGAAATGACCAGGGCTTGTGATTTGCTGCAAAGTTGCCCAGAAGAGCCAGTGGGTACACGGGTAGGTGAACGGGAGCAAACAAGATTGGCTTTGCTGATTAATACTGAAGTTGGGTGACAGACACTGTTTTCTCTACTTTTGTGTCTTCAACTTTTTATAACAAAAGTCTTAAAACTATCCAAGGGAATGTCTTAGTGCTGACAGACATGAATTTCCAGTTTAAAAGGCCCACATGTACCCAGCCAAGAAATGAAATTAGAACCACACCAAAATACACTGCCATAAAATTTCAGAACACAGGACCAAAGAGAGACACCACAGGCTTCCAGAGAGAAAACACAGCTCCAAAGAATCAGAAATCATAATTTTTTAGTCTCTCCATAGCAACACTGGAAGCCAGAAGTCAGTGGAACAAACAATATTTTAAAAAATTCTATGGAAAATAATTTCCAACATAGCTCTCTTTACCCCGACAAGCTACTTATCAAATATGAGGGCTGAATTAAGGTGCAAAAAAAAAAAAAATTTACCTCCCATCCATCCTTTCCTAAGAAGCTTCAACAGAATGTGTTCCGCTAAGACAAAGGAGTAAATCAAGAACCCGGATGGTCCAGGATACAGAAAAAATGTCCAACAGGAAGGCTGTGCTGATGAATGCTATATTTTATCACAACTTGTTTCTAACGAGCAATACAACTTTAAAAATACCTGAAGACAAATTGGACAGAATTACAAAGAGAAACTGACAAGCACAGAGCCACCTCCACAATAAACCAATAAACCAAGGTGACAGCAACTCGGGAACAAGCACAATTTAACGGACAGACTGCACCCCCAATAGAGGGCACGCAGGGAACTTCACAAATGCTGAGCTTCTACTGGAGGGATCTCAATATAAAAATAAATCCATGAAATGGGAGTCATGTACTATGAAAATAATGTAATTAAATTAGAAATCAATAAAAGCTCAGGGGCAAACAACTACACCTTTTGGAAAAACTTCAAATTCGCTCAAAGCTAATGTCCTGCCAATGGGTTTCAGCCCCGGGCAAGTTTGCTATGTATTCAGTGTAACCAAAGAAACTGACAGCAAAACGTTCTTTGGCGTGAAAGGGTTTATTACCTGGCTTGTCCTCCGGCAGCATCTTTGCCTCTCTCTGCCCAGAGCACTGGGCCGAGCTCTCTACATAGCACAAGAGCTTATTGTCTAAAGGTATGGAAGCGGCAGCCCAGCAACAGGCCAGGATCCTGGCCACACGAACCCCAGCTTCCCTACACTAACTTAACAATTTTGAGGAAAACCTAGTAGTGGTAGGATACAGAAAACTGAGTGACAGGTGAGAACTATATTCTCAAGATTTTGGGAGGCAGGTGAAGCAATGCTGAGAGGTGAAGTCTTTTGAATGTGTCTACATCAAGACATAAGAAAAACCACAAAACAACAAGTCAAACAACCAGTTTAAGAAGTTATAAAAAGAACAGAGTAAACCCAAAGAAAATAATCTAAAATTTTTAATGAAACAGATTAAAAAGAAATCAGCAGCAGCAAGGATGTCATATCGAAGTGGTTATGTGAAAGAACAAATATTTAACAAGTGAGCCATAAAAAAATAAGGCAAAATTAACATTAGCAGGAATAATTTTTAAAAAAGGAATGAAAAGTATAGGTGAGGTAGTGATTTTTACTTTACATCACAAAAGAATATGATGAACAATCCTAAGTCAATAAACTTGGAGATGTAAATAAAATGGACCGTGTTCTAGAAACACCTAAACAACTAAGTTAAGGATAAATAAGAACCCGACCGATCCAACAACCATTCAAGAAACTGGGTCAGCCAAAGCCTCTGCCTCCACAGAAGACACCAGAACATGCGTTTACCACCAAATTCTCTCAAACCTAAAGGGACACAGAGTCCCTTTGGCATGCAAACAATTTCAGAGGCCAGGAGGGAAGGCTGCCCAGGGCGTCTCCTCTGGTACCAAGACCTTGGTACTGAAGCAGTCAGGATGAGGACATGACAACAGAGACGAGGTGTGAAAACCCTAAAAGTATGACAACCCAACTAGAGAGCTTATAAGCCTGAAGCCATCCCGAGTAGGGATATTCCAGGGGCACAGACAGTGGGAATGCGCACCAATGTATCGTCATGTAGCATACAAGAGAACACCATGGTGGGCTTAAGAGCAGCAGAAAAGGCGCAAACTCATGCTAAAAGTCCTTAGCAAATTCATACATGGAACTTTCTTTATATGGTGAAGAGCACATAAAAAAAATTTAAAACTAGAGCAAATATAGTTAATGGTAAAACTTTAGAAGCATTCCTATTTCAGTCAGGAACAAGACACCAGCTTATTACTCCTACAATTCCACATTAGATTAAAGCCCATACAATACAACAAAAATTAAGAGATATAAAAGTTGAAAAAGAGAAACTGTTCTTGTAGACAATGTGGTCATCTACATAGAAGTCTACTAACCAATAAGAAGTAAGTTAGGCAGAGCCGCCGGGCTGGAGTGCCCATGACTCAGAAATAACCAAAGAAAAACAAGCGAACGTGACTTGGTGCTCACAGGAGTAGCACAATTTGTGTGTGCAGCACAGTGAGTCTGGCAGTTCACAAGAGCTTGTAAACAAGTATCACAGACACTAGTACAGGCTTGGATGCATAAATACACACTATGTCACGAAACAAACCTGGCCTTGTAGTCAACTATCTTCAAATTAACCTGTAACATCAAAATAAATGCCACTCAAAATTCTGAGTTTATATGGAGATATAGCCAGAGATTTCACTGATGTACTATTAAAAGAGCATGGAGCTGGAGCTGACTTGAGCAATGAATGACAGGGAGCATGTAAAGTAGTGATGGTGCCCTGGGGTCCTCTGGTATTCATCCTGCAGGTGCGGGCCCCGCACTCCTGGGGTTGCCCAGTGTGGAACTCATGGCTGCATGACAGAATTCCTCACAGCAGTTGACTAATCAGCCTGGATGGCCAAGGGGTCGGTGGAAGTGTACATTTCGGAATGACACATGCCTGTCGATTCACATGTGCACGGACCCTGCTGTGTGGTGTAGGTGTGTAGATATGTAATCCATAGCTATAGACACATACCACCAAAGAGAAAAGCTACAGGAAAAAATCCTACATGACTTCAAGGCAGTGGGAAAGGGGAGGGCTCAGAGAGCTGGGCCTGGGAGCTTCCCACATCTGTGCTCTTTCCTCTTGAACAAAACTTAATGACGGAGCACAGGAAAATGTTAATATGGGTGGACATGTGGGCCTGTGAGCGTGTGGGCCTGCGGGCGTGTGGGCCTAGTCTCTGTGCTCCTGGGATATTTTATCCAAGACATCGATACAAATAAGGTCCCAGAAAAGGACCCAGCGTAAGAGGCGGGTGTTTGCCTTACTTCCACGGCCCTTTCTCTTCTCAGTCTGCAGGCCCCATCCCTCTAAGAGCTTCCTTGGGAAGCAGGGTTGTTTTATGGCCTCTGGGAAACCAGCCAACTTTCTGTGGAGGCCCTAAGCCTGAGCTGAGGCCCTGTGCCCGCTGGGACCCTTGGGGGGCCTCCATGTCCCCCTTCTCCTTCCACATTGATTATGTGTCAATCACATGACTTTGATTCCTAGACTGATCACCCTGAAGGTTCACTGAAAAATGATGCTCAGTGCTGACATTCAGAACCAAAGAAATCATTTTTTAAAACTCTTAGCCAACTGATTTTGAGCCAATACTTTATAAATAAAAAAACACATTTTTCTACAAAAGAACCACAATTCCTTGCCGTATGAATGCCCTGCGAGATCAGGCATCCTTGCTTACCTCCTCAGGGACTCTATGAAGGCCACTCGGGCATCTGGGACTGCTGGGAGCTGTGAGAGGAAGTGTGGGGCTCGAGTGAGAAGCCAACAGGAACGTCCCCTCTGCCAAATCAGCCCCAAGATTAAAAGGATGCGTACGGACCACTCGCGGTGTGAGCAGGGCAGGGAGGAAGTGAGATAAGTAGTAGGGTCTTCGGAATATGCTGCAAAGAAGAAGAGCAGGCTCACAGCTAGGCGCTTGGTGGGCCTCAAATGCCCACCATGGAAACATCTGCATCCGAGAGTAGCCCCATGGGGCTGTCTCATTTCTGGGAATCAAGTTATGTCACATGTGTTAAGTCTTACTGTTCACTGTTTTAGGACACTTCATGCAAAGGGTGGTCTGTGCAGTGTAAAGGATGTGTCCCAGGGAATCCGGATGAATCTCAGCCCTGGCACGGCCACGGAATGGAATCTGGGTTAATCCAGGGCCACAAGGGTCCCTTCAAGTCCACTGGGGGCATTCTCCTTGGGGCTGCTGGGGTCACTTCACATTTCTCAGAAGCAATGTCTAAGAAAGCTGTCCCACAGTGGTAGCAACCAGAATTCAAAAGATGTTTTGGCATCAACCAAATTCAGTAAGATTCTGCTCTTCAGCCCCCTGTGCTGGCTCTACCTGGCCCCAGGGAAGCATTCATGCAAATCATTGCTGCTAAGCATGGGCCCCATCTTGTTCCCCTAACAGTGTGGGTGCCATACCGCTGGGCTGCAGGACCCTTGCTGGGACATTTACATTGACTCCTGTCTGCCCACAGACACGATCACCCTGCTCCATGTGGCTCTGAGATAGTTGTGGGGATGGCTCCAGGCAGCAGATCCTACCTGGCTTCCATAACGGTGGCGGGAATTTTCCCTGTGTGTTCAAACACCACAGTGGCCTTCTCGACATCCTGGAGCGCTTGGCTATGGGGCTAGCTCCATACAGGGAGGAGAGAAGGGCAGGTTCAAGCAAAAGACACAAACAGGGCACCATCAGCCTGTCCCACATGGCCACGGTCCTGCCTTCCAAGCACAGCAAGGGAGCCCTGGAACTCCCCGACACCAGCCACCCCAACGATGGGGTCAGTGCCGCCTCCTGGCCTCGGGGAGTCAGGTCCAGCAGCGCACAGCCTCGGGCTCTGCACACACCGCTCACTCCTTTCAGCTGCTCTAGGAGAGCACACGGTTCCAAAGGAAGACTTTCCGACAGAAAGGAGCAGAGACTTAATTTTTGAGTTAAAAAAAAGGAAACAGAACTTATGAACAGCAATAATCTTAACCGGAAAACTGCATCAAATATTATTAAACCTTCAACACTTTTAACAGCAGCGCTAAGGACTCTCCAGTAACACATGACTTTTAAGTAAAAGGGTCTTAAAAATATATACACACACCCTATAGCCATCTGACATTTGGTTTACATAAAATATACTGAACACTTGGAAATCTCTGTAATTCCTCAAACAACACCCCCCACCCACTGCACAGACCTTTTCTATTCAAACCCATGTGAACATCTACAAAGCAAGCCCCCCTCCGCACAGAGCCTCCCCTTGCCCCTGCTCTCGACAGCGTGGAACATCACAGAACGAGCACCTCGGGGACGCCCCCCTCCAGCTGATAAACAGAAAAGGCTCCAGGGCTCAAGTCAGAGTCCCAGGAAACCAGACTGGCTTTGCTGAACATATAGGGAGAGGCCCCAAGGTGCTGTTACCTCTCTGACATCCTTGGCTGAAGACAAGTCCTCATAGAGACCCATGTTTTCTATAGAAACCTGCAGAGACACAGGTGAGAGCATGAGTACCCAGCCAGGTGCTGGCCCACAGGGAAAGGCGAGGAAGTGGGTGTGGGGAGGGTGGACTTGCCTTGAGGTCAGCCAGCCGGGTCTTGGCCAGCGTGACATAGTCTGTGAGGAGGCGGCGGCACTTGCCTGGAACCAGTGGCGGGTGAAGAATGTGCACCTGCGGGCAGACAGCAGCATGGGACTACCTCGCGTGGGCACTGCCGTGGCATGTGGGCAGATGGCAAGTCTGCTTCCAAAACCTGCATTTGCACTGACACAAGGCCAGAGAACCAGCCAGGGGCCATGGGCAGGAGCCAGACAGTCCTGCTGGAGGGTGCGGAGGACATAAGGAGAGCGCGCCCCTCAGCTACCAGGCCCTGGCCGTGACCCTTCTCACTCCTTGGAGGGGAGGTGCTCACACCTCTGATCTGGAGGCATCCCTGTCTGCAGCACTGCCCGCTGCACCCAGTCCCCAGGGGGCAAGGGGCTGAGCATGTGGGGTGGGCTGAGAAGGCACAGCAGCGTGGACCTGTGTGTTGAGGCTTCAGCCCATGATGGGCACACGGCTTTCTAGTCCTCCTCTTCGTGTGCCACATGTATGTATTGTGGTTATGCTACGGGAAGGCACTGTCTGATGAGGAGAGTCACACAAACGTGTTGTCAGAACTGTAGACTCTGTACTAGTGCATAAAGCCTCCCACTCCTGGCGGTAATGGTACTGGCAGTTTGGGAGTATATCCTTCCAGATTCTTTACTTTCAGTATAAAAATACATCCGTTTTAAAGAACAACAGTGGGATGGGATGGCGCCTGCTGCCGACGGCGGCCTTTCCCGCCTCGCCCCACGCCCCTGCGCAGGGACCAGCACTTCTGCCCTCCCGCGAGGCTGCCGTTCACTGCCGCAAACACGGTCTCCTGGCTGTGTGCTGCCCAGGGAAGGTCAGCTCTCACCTGCAAGTATCGGGGGGCCTCCACGGGCACGAGGCCTGACAGGAACTGGAAGAGGAAGGCCAGAGCCTTCCCGCCGCCGTGGCAGTGCCTCGTGCCGCCGAAGGAGGCCTGGAGGGAGAAGGGTGTGAGCCGCGGCCGCCAGCTGTCACCTGCTCTGAGGCAAGAGAACCCAGCCGTTCGCTCGTGGCTGGGCCTTCACTGAAGGAATGGGCTGAGAGGCTATTTTTGAAAATGATTAAAAATGTGTTTCCATAGCAAACAGTAACTATGGCATCTCTGGGACCCTCAGAGACGAGACCCGTTAGCCCCGAACGAGGCCCCGCCTGCGGCAAACACCCGCATTCCGGGGGCGGAGAGGCAAGCAGGTCGCGGCAGGGAGGCAGCCAGGTGGGTGGCCTGCCGCTGCAGCAGAGCAGATGCCCCAGGGACGAGGCCGTCTGACTGCGCCAGGGGCCTGGGCACCACCCCCAGCAGGCCCACCACCAGCAGAGCCTCTCTGCCCCTGGGGCAAGTCACCCTGAGGCCCCTGCTCTTCCTTCCCAGTGAGCGCATGACTCCGTGACAGCACAGACAGAGGGCACAGAGGCCCTGGGTGAGAGGCTTGTGTCCCGCCTCCCCCTCCCACACAGGCACCTGGGCTCGCTCCTTCCTCCCCCGTCTACACGAACACTGAGCCTCGATGACACTGGGACACGGGCACGGCAGTGAACCACCAAAGGGGCCCCATGGTCATCCAGAGTGTTTATAAAGTGTCTAAAGCACAGCCCCCAGATCTGGGGTTACATCACTGTCACTCCAGGACAAAGGCAGTTGCTTTTGTCATTAGAAAAATTACATCTAAGAACCTATTGTAACAGATAAGCCATCACCACAGTACACATTGGTCTAGTGGCATTAACGTTTTTGAAGCTAAAGATTAAAGTAGATGTTCAAACATTGAACATACACATAGACACCCGTCAAAATGCAGCCATTCACTTAGAGTAGGTGCATTTTGCGTAAATTATACCTCAATAATGTTGAGTTAAAAAGGTAAAAGGGAAAAACAAAACCAAGAACAGCCCTCAATGTAGCACAACAGGTGTTCCTCCCGCCGAGCCACCTGCTTGTGACCCAGTCTCTAGGCAGGCACGGTAGGCATAGTGTGCAAGCAGGACCGCCAAGCGCCTAACTGGGACACTGCCAGGACCATGTGTACCCAGGGCTAGCTGAGCACAATGGGATGAGATGCTTCAGGGAACTCACGGCTGAGAAATGGCCACAGCCCAGCCGCACCTAGGCAGAGGTGGGGGCCTGGCCCCTGAGCACCTGCAGCTGCCCTTGTGAAATGGAGGAAGGCGAGCTCTCTGCAAAGCAACACCTCGTCCAACCAGGTGGGTGGTGGCAGAACCCGAAACCCTGACAGAGAATCAGAGCTTTTCAAATGACACATATGCACACACCTGGCCTTCACAGCAGATCTCCAGAACACGCCCCACCAGGCACAGCCCCAGCTCCCAGTGCCCCTCAGGGGCTGGGTCAGGCAGGTCTAGGGACAGCTGCACAAACAGACTCACTGCACACTCTGGTAGGCCTCCACGTGCCCCTGGGGCTCCCTGCAGCTGGCTGGCGCAGGCGCCCCGCAGTCTCCCTCTCTCCCACCTGATTTCCTTTTCTTCTAAGAGAGGAGGGAGGTCTGAGGGGCGGCACAGGGGAGGCATAGCCTGGCAGGGGATGTCCGTAGGCCGTGTCTGCCCCGAGGCATTCTTACAAGGGCCGCCAGCCGAAGCAGCTCACCTGAAACCAATCCGCATACGACAGGAATGCGGGGGGCCCCTCCAGTGCAGCCTGACGCGCGACCAGGAACGCAGCGGCCATGCTGTCCAGGCTGTAGCTCTCAAAAGCGCGGGCCAGCAGCCGGGCCACCCAATCTAGGCGGGAAAAACCGACAGCTGGCAGTGAAGTAAGATGTGCACATCCTGCTTGTCCCCAGGGGCTCTGGTTCAGATCCCGACTCCAGTGTGGGGTGGCAGTCAGAGCACACTGACTCCGACCGTGCAAGGCTGTGCACATGTGCCCAGAGCAGCAGCGGTGCCGTGGGAGAGGCCACGGAGGGCTCAGACATGGGAGCCACTGGCAGGCAAGAAAGGACTTTTATCCTCACGGAGAGGTACACAGTGGTTCTACCTATGGGCTGACAGCTCACAGACCACCAAGCACATGCTCAGACTCCCACAGCCCCTACAGGCACACCTGTCACCAGGGACTGGGCTTCCGGTGAGCAGACCACCAGGGTAGACACGCAGGCCAGCACATGTTGCCAGTTCACCGCATGTGTCTCCAGAACTTCCTGTAAACGGCCAACCAGTTCCTCTGGACTCAGGATCACAAGGAGCTGGAACAGAAGTGTCCACAGCTGACAAAGCCACCGCACACTGGGCAGCCACGCCCTCGCCTCCCACCCACTTGCCAGGGGCATGGAGCCCAACGGGTCAGTGCTCGCCAGAGAGAATTCTCGCTCTGACCAGTGGGCAGGGGCTGCACAGAAGCAGGTGGCCAGCTGTGTGTGTTGCAGTGCCAGAGCCATGGTCGCACTCACCCTGCGGTATAGGCCTGTGAGCAGAGGGTGGGTCCTCGCAAAGCTCCATTCCCGTTGCATCTGAATGGCATCTGAAACTTCAAGAGGAAAAACAGACAAAAATATCAAGTAAGTAATCGTCAAAAAGCTGTGGACTACGGCCTCTGTGTCGAACACATTGCTTAATCTGCATCTTCTCAATTATCCGTGAAGTTCACCTTTTCCTTCTTGGCCAACCATTTCCTATGTCATCAAATGTCCATGTCTTCAGCCCAGTCACTACTGGCAGTCCTTCGTCTTATTTGCTCTATTTTCCAATCCACTGAATACATTTCAGCCTTACTGCTCTTAAGCTGACACAGCCAGCAGCAGTCAGCAAGGACTCTGCTGGACGTGGCTAGAGTGGGGGCATTGCAGGTGGCCAAGCCCTCGGTTCAGGGCAGAGCGGCCTGCCTGGAGTCCCACCCAAGGGTTTACGGGATGGGCCACTGGTAGGACATAGTAGCGCCAAACCCTTTTAGGGAAACATTATCTCTTTAAGAAAATGCTTCTAATGCATCACAACAGAGCCTTGGAGTTCACCCTCACGACTCTTTTCCAAAACCTGTTCAGAAAAGAGCATGAGGAAGGCTCTGTCAGAGGGTTTCTACTTGGGTGACGTCTCTCCACGCCTCTTTAACTGTTTTCCTCACCAGACCATGTAACTTTCAGTGGAAAGGCTTTAGTGATGAACGTCCAGGGCCCAGGCCCCCCCAGCGCGCTGGCCAGGACCCACCTTTCAGCACAGGCCTGTGGGTGAGGACCTGGGTCAGCGTGTGGCTGAAGAACCTCTTGGGAGAGTCTGTCGGGAGTGCTCCGCAAAGTGTGCGCTCACCCAACACGCCAAACCTGCGGACCCAGAGGCGGCGGGTCTCAGGGAGGTGCCTCTGAGAAGCATGTCACATCCAGGAATCAGCTTCTCAAAGGCTATTCCTCCAGCAAAGCGGCATAGGCCCCCAGCCCGCCTTCTGGAAGACTGAGCGCTTTCTCTGCCAGGCATACACTTGAAATAGAGCCTGAATAAGCAGTTTCAACAAGAAAGAAAATGAGGGTGAAGACACCATTGAGGACAGAGCAGGAAGACCACAGGGAGCCCAGGAGGCCATCGCAGGGCCTGGACTCCCCACCTGGGAAGTAGGAATCATAAAGTGGAGAAAGGTCAGGCCAAGTGGAGCACAGTGCCTGGTACACACAGGAAGGCAGGCGAGGAGCAGGTCACTCAGGTCAGGAGGACGAAGGGGTCAGAGTCAGGGTTGGTACCACACTGATCCTACAAGGGAGAAAATCAAGGGCCCAGCGGTTCCAAGAACTGCCCCAGACTGCGTGTGAGGGACAGTGATGTGGGGTGGGGCCAGGCTGTAAAGGGAATGTGTCATTTTACTGGAAGTGTGGCACTAATTAAAATGTTCAGAAAGAAACAAAGTCACCAGCCTCTGTCACCTGGCCCTCAGGACACGAGTCTGAGCAATCTCGCCAGCCTGCTATGAAAATACCTGAAGTTGAGAACCCTGCAGCAAACGACCCACCGCTCAGGGAAGTGCTGAACCTATGGCACATCCGGCAACGACAAAGTGACTGTGGGGCAGGCAGCCAGCCTAACTAACAATGGGAGACTTAAAGGGCTTGGGATTCTCCTGGCTTCCCAAAAGAGGCCCCCTCCAGGCTGGCCTCACCACACGCTGCTCTGAAATAACCCTGACACACCGGTGTCCAGATGACAAGTGCCTCCAGAGCCAAGAGAGAAAGACGGTGCGGCAGAAACTTGCCTGCTGGCCTGGCTCAGTGGGAGGCAGATGGAGGTCTCTGAAAGCCACGAAGGCGGGAAAGGGCTGGTGGAGTGCCCCACGACCCTCAGGAGTCTGGGCTTAGAGGCCTCATCCCCTCAGACCATGAGGCACAGGATCCTGCAGACAGGGGGCCACCTTCTGCCCTGCCTTTGGAGGGGACGGAGCCCAGGGTCTCTGGTGGTTCCCCAGGATGTTTTCAGAGGCAGGAGTCAGCTGATACCTCAGCAGTGCTTCAAATACCCAGAACTCCTGATGAGCACGCCCCCAGGCACCCAGGGACTCACCAGCACTTCACGGCCCTGTGCGCTGGGGACCCCTCCTGCAAGCCGGCAGCCAAAGCCTCAAGGGCAACTGGAGCAGTGGGAAGACAGGACAGACATCAGCTTGGTGGAGGCCCGTCAGCACCTCAGACCCCGGTCCTGGCCCTCACAGGCCTCCCAAACCCCAGAGGGCCCAAGCCCTCCAAACTCAAGCCTTTGAAGTTAATCAAAATATGCGGACAAGAAACCATCCCTCCTCAGCCATCGCACTTCCCAAGAACGGGCGTCATTCCCAGCATGGAAGGGGAGGCCAACTCACACAGCAGCATCTTCTGGAGCACGGCAGCAGCCACCTGCCAAACAGAGGCAAGTCTCAGTCACTAGGACACGCGGCATCAGCTGTCTTAACGCAAATGCAAAAATGGACGCCACGAAGGGGCCGCCTCTCTAGCTTCCTCTTTGGTACAGACATGCATTATCCCCTACAGGAGGCGCCCAGCAGAAAGGCAGGCTTTCTGGAAACTTCCTGGGACACTCCGCTCCCACGAACAGCATGCTGTGCAGTTCCAGGCACAACTGCGGCCACCTGTCCCTCTGGTCTCAAGGTACAAGCCGGGTTCTGGGCAGTGAAGGCCCTGATCCTTCAGGGCCTGGGAAATGCCTCTTTCTACCACCCGCTGCATCCTGCTGGGGCAGGGCGGGGTGGCCCCCCCCACCCCCCCACCAATACCGCTGATACCCCAGGAGGGGCTGCCTGGGAGGGGGTGGTTCACCACAGAGAGGCCCATTCCACCACACTCCCTACCTGAGGCATCCGGTCAGGCTCCCCATTTCCTCTCAGATCCAAGGGTTTCTTAAATCCCCTCAAAATAAACATTTGCACAAAATCTGAAAGCCAGAAAGCCACAATGTCTACCTACACTGTGGCCATCAAACCGCCGTGAATCACAGACTGCTCAGGGGCCAAGGACAGGATGGGGGCCCTGCATGGGGGGCTCCCCACCGACTGCCACCCACAGGCACTAGCCGAGCCAGCCCACCAGCCCTGCCTGAGTTGGGGCTTTCTTTCTGCCTTTCTACTTGAAAAGGAGGGGTACTTATAACCCATCAAGTTTATAGTAAGGATTTTTTTCTCTTAAAACAATCAAGTAGCTTCCCAGGGTTTCCTGTGGACATCTCTCCAGCCAGTCTGCACGTGGGCAGAGAACAGTCAGAGAGGAGCAGGGAGAGCTGCACCCAGGGCAGGAGGGGGACTCGTGCCTTCTGGAAAGGTTAGGATCAAGAGGCCTAAACTTAAAAAGAGTTTCTGTCTGATCATCAAGTTAAACTGAGGCCAGATCAAGGATCAGAGATCCTAAGTAGCTAATGTCTCCAAGAAAGTTTTAGGAACAAGGAACACCTCTTCTGCAGGAAAAAAATGCACACACTGTATGGAACACTGCTTCTCATCTAATTTTCCATTATTTGTTTCAAATTTCATTCCTTAGGGACTGCTGGCAATAGGAGGGGTCTGCTGGCTCAGAGAGCCAGAGACCCTGCAAGGGAAGGGCACCCGAAGTCTATGGGCGAGACGAGGAATGGCTGTTTTTAGCATGACAACCCCACTCACACCCCAAGTCTGGACACCTAGATGAGGACCAGAGTTTAGGGTGCCCACCACAAGTTCCCCCTCTGCTTTTCCTGGAGCACCTATTACAATAATCAGAGCTGAGCCCATGACACACCAGTGACTGGGGCCCAAACCACCTTGTAAGCAGGAGGTCCTGGAACCCCACACTCTGCACCCTCCTTGCTCATGACCTGAGGGAGGACTGCCTCCTCGGGCCACCGCACCCTTCACTTCTGGGGGGCAAGCAATCCCTCTTGTGACTGCCCCCTTTTTGTGTGGGTACACAGAAGCTGTTCCTTCAATCAAAATGGCCATGGGGTTTCCCTTCCCCAAAGTGGGAGCCTGGATGCTGGGGGAGCTGCCTGCCACCGTGTAGATGACACTGCCCTATGCCCCATCAGCAGGTCACAGTTCAGACTTCATTCTTAACACACCAGCTATGGGCCCCCACAACACAACAGGTGGACAGGCCAACTCACCAAGATTTCTACACAATTCGAGTTAAATGCAATCCAGTGACAGGCAGGGACTGAGATGGTTTCATGCTAGATGTCCACCCCAAGGATGTAGGGAAGCATTCATTCCCCACTGACTTAGACACATTTTACCGAAGACTCCACCTGTCAGGAGCTTACCAGAAAGCATGGTCCTGGCGATGTCGGCATGTTGGCAGGACGCTTCTATCTGCTCACACAGAAGGCGCAGGTCCCTGAAGAGCCACGCCACCACAGCCTGCATGTTGGCCTGGCTGGGGACACAGGCACACAGCTCACCCTGCCCCACCGCCGGCTCTCTCACATTTGTTCATTAGGAAACGTGGGCCAGTGGGTCAAGCAGGACTGCCAGAGCCTCCTGACTCCAAGAAGTCACAACAGGGCCAGTGGCACACAAGGGGCACCTGGGACAGCTGCTACTGACATCAAAAATGATGATTTTCAGATGGTTTATGTATTTGGAGCAGCTTACCATTGTCCAGGGGAAAAAAAGTTCAGTAGTAATAATCAAAGACAAAGCAGACAGACAGTAGCAGCAACAGGCCACAGGCTGCCACCAAGGGTCAGGGTTAGGTCTGAAAACTCTAATCCAGTAGCAGGGGTAGCGAGGGGCCCCCCTGTCTCCCCTATCAGACTGGCATTTCCCTGGTGACTAATGGTGTGCAGCATCTTTTCATATTTGGCCATTTGTGTATCTTCTGTAGAGAAATGTCTACTGAAATCCTTTATCCACTCTTAACAGGACTGTCTTTTTACTGTTAAGGTATAAGTTACTTATTCCAGACACTAGGTTCTCATCAGACAATTTGCAATTAACTTCCATAAGGTCAACAGTGATATCCCTTCTTTCGTCTCTGATTTGGATCATTTGTGCCTTTTTTTCTTGGTTCATCAATTTTGTCAGTTTTTCAAAGAACCAATTTTTGGCTTCATCAATCTTCTCTATGGTTTGTTTTCCATTTCACTGATTTCTACTGATCCTTTGCTCTTCCTTCTGCTTTGGGTTTAGTTTGTTCTTCTCTAGTTTCTTAAGATCAAAGCTTAGATCACTGATATGAGATTTTTTTTTCTAACACCTATGAAATTTCCCTCTAAGCAGTCCTTTGGGTGCATCCCATAAATTCTGGCACATCGTTTTCATTTGTATTTGTCTCAAGGCATTTTCTGATTTCCCTTGTGATTTTTTTCTTTGACCCACTGATTATTTAAAAGTACATTGCTTAATTTCCAGATAGTATGGGTTTCCCAATTTCCTTCTGTTGTTGACTCTAAGTTCCTTTGTGGCTGGAGAACTTTCAGGGCATGGCCTCAACCCTTTTAAATTTACCCCAACTTGTTTTATAGCCTGAACCCTATGCTGTCCTGGAGATTGCTCCGCACTTAAGAACGTGTACTCGGCTACTGCTGGGCTGCACTCTCTAGGTGCCAGTCAGGCCAGGCTGGCTGCGGTGCCGTCCTCACCGCTCATCTGGCAGGCTGCCTTTCCAGCCCGCAAAGTGCACTGCTGAAGGCTCCATCACTTGGAGACATCTGTCTTCCCCTTTAATTCTGTCACTTTTTGCTTCATATATTTTTTTGGTACTGACACTAGATGCATATATTAGGCAATGTTTTTCACATACGTTCCTTAATCTTTTCTTTTCTAACTTCTGGGATTTGTATCCTATTTTGGCCTTCCACATGTCAAGATTACAAAAACATTCTTATGTGATTTCTTCTAGTACTTTTTAAATCTCAATTTTTCCCTTTCTTTGATTTGTGTGGCATTTTTTTTGGTGTAAGGTAAAGATCCAACTTTTTTTAAATCCAGATGTGACCCATGTATTTCAATATGGCATTTTCAGCTGTTTTTGAATTGCTCAAACTAGACACCCCCTGGTTTCCCAACCAGAAATTATACATAAGCCTTCAGCCTGTGTTCGGCCAGGGGAGGAACACTGCCTGGCGACCTAGAGCAAGGGTGGTGATCAGTGTAGGGGTCCCAACGCCCCCTCGGTTCTACCTGGGCCCCTCCACCCCACCCTCTCCTTAGAGGTGCTATCCATTCCTGAGTCTTAGGAAGAAACTGGATTGGTTCTCTTCTTTCCACAGTTGGCTAAGGACAAGTCTATCTCATTTGCCGAGTCAGTGACCGCTGGTTTATCTGCCTCCAAAACCTTGTTTTTGTTTTCTCCTCTCCTATACTCATCCATCCTTATGGGGTTCTGCCTTTTTATAAAATCCCATTCTGACTCTTGGTGGGATTTCAGGGGAGAAGAAAAGTAGTTCCACACATTCTATCAACCTTATTTACCTTTTTAAGGATTCAAAACTATTGTACCACATGATTTATCTTATACAAAGAAAATATCACCAAATCTGTGCATGATAATGACATCAGTTATAACAAATATTCTCCTTAAATAATAAAGTAGTGGTTTCCTTAGATGATTTTTTAGCTTTGATATACAAATAAATCAAGCTAGACTAATATTACATGATTCATTTTTGTAATCTAAAGCAACATGAAACCTCATTGGTACCTTTCCAGCAGCTCTTGGAGGCTCACAATGTTTTGTAGATGAAGATGCCACACAGCTTCAAGCAACAGAGATTTCTGAAGAAAATGACAGTGCTATGAGTCCTTCATGTACAGATATTCCTATAAAATGCTCAGCCTGTATTCTTAATCACCATGTTCTATCAAAAATTAAAGTGGAGTAATAGCCATTGCAGCATGTATTATTCACTATAGTTTTAAAGCCCATCAAGCCTCAGACACACCGTTACCACCTCACCTCTCCCTCCTCCCAACCCATGCCACTGTTCACACGCTGAGATTTGCACCCTGCCCAGAGTCTAGCTGGACCCACTTCGAGGCCTTTCTCCACCGTGGCTGACACAAGACCCTAAAGTAGGAACATGACACATCAACCTCTTCTCTTCTTTAGAGCCCTCAGTGGCTCTTCCCAGCTTTCAAGACAAACTTCAGACCCTCTGACATGGCCCAGGCTTGTTGTGACCTCGCCTCCCCCATCCATCCTTCCCCAGTAAGGCCCTCCCTTCCAGAGCCGACATCCAGTACCCTCCTCGGATGCCCGTCCGCTCCCCCTCCCACTGCCTGTGTCCTCAGCCCACTCCCTTCGGCTCATTCATGCTCTCCCTTCAATGCCAGCGACCACCAGCGACTCTGTGAAGCCTTTCCTAGCTGTCCGGTCAGACACAAGCACTCACTCTTCTCTATTTATCTGTGGACACCTGTACCACTGCACCTGGCATGCATTTAGTGGCCCCTTCCCCAACCTCCGTGGTTACTCCTGAGTGTAGGGACCATGCCCATACCTGACAAACCCACTGAATTCTGAGACACATGCTGGGTAAGAGGGGGAAGCCAGGGTACCATCCCTTGGCTGTCCCCCCCCTTTTCCTGTGTTCTCATTGACCTCATTTAATGACCCAGCAGTCACTGTGAGTTCTTCCACCTATTCAAAAGTCTGTAAGCCTGCTGAGTTCAAAATGCTTCAAAAATAAAGTAAAAATAAAAAAACTAAGAATAATTTTAAATTACATTTTTCTAGTTCCCTTAACTGCCCTGGAAACTTGTTCATGACTCACCTAAGAAGGCAGAACACTAAGTTTCTGTGGTACATTCTAATAAGTATCACAAATGATGGGGGGATGTTTGACAGACATGGCTAGCAAGGTGCTCCCTCCGACTATCTGTAACCTAGGAGATGCTTGATGGAATTCCTAAAAACACCTCGGGATTCTACCAGCTCCACTCACATCAATTACTGTGATCAAATAATTCATGGCAGAGAGAGAGGAAATGCTTTTTCTAGTCTTTTAAGGCCCCTGGAGCCAGTGTTGTGGGGTCAGACTTACCTGCACTTTCCACAGTTCTTGACAAAGGAAGCCACGGGAGAGCAGACTCTGTGCTAATAAATACTGTGCAATCGTTAACAAGTGAGACAGCTTTTCCTGCAAAGAGATGTTAAACTTTTTTAAAAAGCAGGTGAATATCTGAAATGATATTAAAGAAATATCCCGTTTTCCCAAACACCTTAAGGCAACAAGTAGCAGGGGTCCCTGATCTGTGGGCGCCTCACCCTCTGCTCCGCCGTCAGCAGCACCCGGGGGGAAGGCTCACCATCCACCTCACAGACCTGCACCAAGCTTGCGGCTACCGTCCGGCTGGACAGGACAGCCACTGGAACCCCCAGTCGAGAGGCCTGATCCCGCAGTGCAGAGCCTGGAGACAAACGATTGTGGAAGGCACTACAAAATCTGACAGAAGACTGGTCATTTAAGTGCCTCCTAAATTGTAGCACCTCAGAAAGCTGCCTTTGGAGAGGGAAGATAGGTCCCAAGGGAAAAACATGAGGCACGAAATTAAGAGTGTTTTAGAACTGAAACAGCTCACAAGATAAGCAGGGGCAGTGTCCGTAGCCCAGCTGGACATACATGTTTGTGTGTTTTGTGTGACACAGAGAAAACTTGGCAGATATAGTCTAAGAATTTCACCAACTCTTCCCGGAGGAGCACAATAATTGAGAACTATAGCGAGATCCAAGGGAACTCCTGTTTTCCTGATCACTTCAGCATCACAGACAGATGGCTCCCTTTGACTTTACATTGAGGTTTAAGTGGAAACTGGGTCAGGTTTCCCAGTACTGTGACATGCACAGGGGGGCCACACAGGCCACAGGTGTGCTTGTCCTGGGGCTCCAGGTGGAACCTGGATGCTGCCAAATGGCAGCCATCAGCCCCCTGGGCAACCAGCTTTTAGTCTGCACTCAGTGAGGGGAAACGCCAGCAGTCTGGGAACAGATAATGCTTACAAGCAAACTGTTTTCTAACATGACTTCCAAAGCTTAGTATCTTTTAAAATAGGAAGCTATAGCATGTGCCTATTACATTTAAAGCTCTGGAAACACACACCAGTATGTAAGTGAAAACACTTAACAGTCGTTACTAAGATTCCACAACACAATTAGAATTTATCAATTACTGTGATCAAGTAATTCATGGCAGAGAGACAGAAAGTACTTTTTCTAGCCTTTTATTTCCAAATTGTTTCCATGGGAAAGTTTATTTGTTTTTATTTACAAGGCTGTTATCTTTTTTACATAAGCATGAATAAGTATGGTAGCCACTATATGCAGCAGGAAAACCACTAAAAAATTCACAAATTAACG